CCCGGTCCCCGCTTGGGGAGCCCGAGCCGCTTTCTGCGGCGGGTTCCGCGGCGTCACGCGTGGCATAACGGCCGGTCAGGCGGCAGAGCCGCGCCGAGGCGAGGGGTTCGGTACCGAAGGGGGGCGAGCGCCTGGCGCTTAAACTTCTCGGCGCCAGTCAGGACCTTCCGTTATCGCAATACCGCTGCTTTTCTTTTAAAGGTGTTTTGAGGTTTGCTGCGGTCCTTCTATCGTTAATCAGACTTCTGTTTGCTTACGTGAGTGGAGGTAGCCACAACTTCTGCCCCGAGTATCGTGGCAGTGCCTCGGTCCTGAGGAGGAGTCCCAAACCCTCGGACTTTGTGAGGAAAAACTTCTTTACTGAAAGAGTGGTTAAACATTGGACCAGGCTGCCCAGGGAAGTGGTTGAGTCCCCATCCCTGGAAGTATTTAAAAGACGGGTAGATGAGGCGCTGAGGGACATGGTTTAGTGGGCATGGCGGTGTTGGGTTGACGGTTGGACTCGATGATCTTGGAGGTCTCTTCCAACCTTAATGATTCTGTGATTCTATGACTTTGCGCGTGTCAGGCCTTACGGCTGCGGTACCTGTGGCGCGTGTATCCTTTAACACTTGCAATGTGTCGTATGGTAAATGAATAAGGAGAAGGAATACTTAACGCTTGATGGCGGTGTTTAAACACCGATGGAATTTAAAATGATTGAAAAAACTTAGTTGAAGAACTCTCTTTGTGAACTGCAGTTAGAGTAGACTTGTATGCCAGAGTCCTCTCCTGGCCTGGGAAGTACTGCTCCCACTTAATGCATAGCAAGATGAAGAAACATTACGTGGGGTTTATGAAGACTCTGGAACAAAAACAGAATTCCATGGTTTTTTTCACGTAAGATTTATATCTACTATCTCCCCAGTTCAGACACCTCTGAGTTTATTATTGGTAAGATGAACAGTTTGCTTGTGTGTGTGTGTGTAAGATGTTGGCTACCGACGAGTCCTTTGCCTTGGAAAAAGGTTGTTAACCCTTTCCTTACAGATTTTAGGTCTTGTTTTGGAAGGCTGAATCTCAAGGATACAGGTTCACACAGCCTGGTCATAGATTATGTTAATGATGCTCTGTTGCGAGATGATGCTGCAGTGTTATGGAGTCCGGGGAAATGCTTGCCTGTAACGAAAGGAGTTTAGGAGTGGTCTGTAATACATTACAATTCTGTATTTGTTAACCCATTCAGCCAGACTTTTCTTCCTCTTTCTGTTTAACAGGAACGTAAAGGGACAGCAAAAGTCGATTTCCTGAAGAAAATTGAAAAAGAGATCCAGCAAAAGTGGGACGATGAGCGAGTCTTTGAGATTGATGCTTCAGATAGGCAGAGCCAAAAGAGGTATCATTACTTTTTTTTTTTACAGGTTTTATCTTTAGCTGCTTGAAATGTCTTTTCAAGGGAACTTTTTTCCTTCAAAACCCAGGAGGGAAAAAAGCGGCCTCCTTGGATCATCTGGAGGTACTTATGCATTAAGTTGGAATTTCTGTAGCTGACAACGTGAAGCGGTGGTGTACATCTGTTGGCCAACTTCCAGTAGGATGAAAAAAGCCACCTCACTCCTTGGTAGTATCAATACCCGCTGAGATTTTGAAAACGGATTCTCTTTGGTGACTTCTACCTCTTGACATGGAGGGCTTTCACTCTCCCAGTTAGAAAGGACCACTCCTTTATCTGAAGGAAGGCGTGTACTTGCTCTGCTTCGCTGAGAAAAGAAAATTGTTAAACAAATATCTTGGGT